TTCTTTTCATTTTCCTTAATGAGTTTTCACATCCTACAACTAAATATACATAACTAATCTTACTCTATTTAATTTCTCCACATTTCTTGTTACAAAGTAATTAGATTACAAGCTTCACAGGGTACAAGTAAGCATCCATATAGTACAACTAATTGCATAATGTGCACTTTATACACAACACTTTAATGCATTACTTACTCATATGGCAAACAGAACCTCAAATGGATTCTCTGTCTTTTTTTCATTTTCTTTCTTTACATATATAGATATAGCAGTTGAAATTTGACAAAGTACAACTAAGCATGCACATGGTACAACTTACATTATGTGCACCTTATGCAACCTTTTGCTGCCATTACATATTTGGCAACTTAGACCATAATTAGGTTCTGTTTCTTTCTTTCTCATTTTCTTTCTTTTACTCACATTGACAAGATACAGCTAAACATGCACATAGTACAACTGAACATGCACAGGCTAAACCCATACCTCAAATGAATTCTGTCTTTCTTTTTTTTCATTTTGTTTCTTCTACACACATGACGGACGGTAGTTGTAATTTAAAAAGGTACAGGTAAACATTCCTTTCCCAAGTGGGTTATGTCTCCTTTTTTTTTTCATTTTCCTTTCTTCTTCTAGTTAATAGTTAGTCATGATACAACTAGACATGCACATGGTACAACTAATGAGTTTTCTTGAATTTTGCAAAATACAAACAGGGTCTAGTTGTACAGGCAGAGACTTGAGCATTTCACAAAGCAAAGGGTCAACAACTGGGATACCACAATACATAGTCCAAATAGTCAACACCTGTGTATCATCATCAGGCTGTGCACCTTCAAATATTCATCTTCATTGTGGTTGGTTTGCCTCAGCAAGAATAGTCAACCCAAGATTCTTCAAGAGACTATCTTATGATGATTGCTTGGTCAATGGTGGTCAAACCTTGACAACCGGTCAAATGATCAGTTTTTCTTATTCTAATTCTTTCATGTATCCAATCTCTTTAAAACATGCTAGATTCTGCTAAAAACATGTTTACTAAATGGGTCTCTGCTATTGTTCTTGATTTATGGATGTGAGTCAAGATTCAAGAAAAAGGCCAATTATGTCGAGAATCCTACTAGAAACAACAAACCCCACCAAAAAAAATTCAATCTTTAATGGATCCCAAGCAAGAATGTGGAGAATCCATGTCAAATTCTGCAACCAAAAGAAAAAAACAAAAAAAGATTTCATTTTTTTGTTGGGTTTGATGTTTAAACCTAGAGCTCTAGCCAATTTACTTATAGATAAGCGTTTCAATTTAAAGTTTCCATCTTTATGTGACCTGGGAGATGGGTTGCTGTTGTGGTCAGATTGATGGGTCATTCATCAGATTTTGAGAATTCTCCTTTAAAAATCAGAGTCAAAAAGTCTAGCCTGCTGCTCAGTACACATGAGAAGCCACAAAAATGATGCTTTTTTGCAGATTTTTTGTGTCTCTTCTTCTCACACTTTGCAGGGTTATGTCTCATTTATCTCCTCCACAACCCACACATACATCAGCATGTTCTCTGTCTAAATTTGAAGGAAGGGGCAATCAAGAAGATGTCAGCAAGATGGAAGAAATGGTCTTTGAGAATATATAGAAGGGTATATCTGTCTTTTCACTTTGCTCTCCACGAACCAAGAAAATTAATTAAGTTGGGGTTGGATATCCTTGGAGGATGGATCCATCCAGATGTGTTTCAGATGTCGCCATGTCAATATCAGAACATCTGCATCTACATGAGTCACAAGAGAACAAACTTTGGAGACTTTGTGTGAATTTGGGGTGCCTCGGGGAACTTGCATCAAACAACTGAAAACGAAATTATTGCCCTATGTATATATATCTACATTTTGTTTTGGGTCTTTGAAATGTTCTGTTTTAGTGTAATGTGTGGTGCTACGATAATTTGTACTTTATGCATTGTATTTTTTATATACTGTTTTAAATTCGAGTATTTTGACACTTTTCTTAAATCAAATTCTATCAATGCTATGTAATGTAAAATCTTTTAGACCATATGGGTCACACCCTCTTGACTAGTTTAACAAAATTACAGTCTTGTATGTAAAGTAATAAAGTATGGTAAAATATATAAAAATGCAAGTGAAATTGACAAGCGTCTGTCTATCTAGTAGTGATATGTTAATTTACATTAATATTCTAACTATTGAATTTATATATGTGTTATGGTGCTTACGTACCAATCAAATAGCACAATTCATGGATGTCACATTTCTCAACTTGAAGTAGTATGTAGGTGTATTGATGCAATTTCACTGAAGTTTTTATCATGACTACTGAAACAATCGTACGTTGTAATCAATTTCTTGAACACCATCATTCTACATGAAAGACGTACCTCACTTGAGTAGGCATGGAGCATGTAAAACGAGCCAGCTACTATTTGTGATTCATCATCCAAATTATCGTAGTTGATTTTTGAATACAACCAAAACATTAGACCACCAACTGGTTTTGTTCGGTGCAAATGTTGCAATGACAAGGTGGTGTTGTAATTAGAGTCTCATCTAATACAGTGCAGATTCTAGTTTTTTGCTATTGTTTTATTGGTTTATATTCGATATGTATATTAATTTTAACTAGTTAGAGAAATATATTAAATAAGTTGTTAAAGTATGTAATCATTCAATTGTTTTCAAGAGATTACATACAAACCTTACAAATTAATCATATTCATCCATTTTTTTTATGAAAGATCAAGATCGAAACAAACTAAATAAGTAAAGAAAAAAAACAAAAGGAATAAAAAATTCATATTGGAGACATGGAAGGACAAAACGGGTAAACATGTTCTATGAATTTGTTTCATTACAATTGTTATACATATGAACCTGATATAATCATATATGTCCTATGAATTTGTTTCATTACAACAATTATACATATGAACCTGTTTCATCACAAACTGTTATACATACCTATGAATATAAACTTGTTTCATTACAGCTGTTATACATATGAATCTGATGCAATCATATATGACCCTGTTTCATTGAACAGTTTGAGTATATTTCATTGAAAATTTCCTTGTTTCATTGAACCTTTTGAGCTTGTTTCATTGGAAATAATACTACATTTTTTAAAATGTGACGATTTTTAAAAAAAAAATTAATGAATACCTCAATGAAATATGTGCTAGTATTGTGCTAATCAATAATATCATCAATATCTATATAAATATTATGTTGTTACCAAACTTACCTATTAATATTAAATAATTACCAAACAAAACTACTGTAAATTCAAATGACCATAATACCCTTATAAATAAAAAAAGAAAACAAATGGATGTATGTGATTGGTTGTAATTAGTTTGTAGGGTTTGTATAAATTGGGATGGTCTGTATTTGATCGCTCATCTCTCTATATATAATATTATAGTGTAAGATGCATATATATATATATATATATATATATAGGGGCCTATTCAAGAGAGAACTGATTAGTTTGTGGTAACTATGTGATCCAATCTCAACCACAAATCAACGGATAAATTAGAAAATTAATAATTATGGTAGTTTGAGTTAAAATTATAATTAGAGGGCATTTTAGGTATTTTTTAAAAAACTCCTCTCTTCTCTCTCCTCTCTCCACTCTTATCTCTCATCTGTCCGACCTCCAATCTCCGACCTCCGGTGAACAAAAATCCGGCAAGTATCAAGTAATCATAAATGTAAATATGTAATACTCATTGTGATATACTGTGATACCCATTGTGATATACTATAATACCATTTGAGTACCACTGTATATCACAATGGGTATCACATTGTGTATCTTTGTGATTACTTGGTACCTATCGGATTTTTGTTCACCGGATGCTGGAGATTGGAGGTCGGAGAGATGAGAGAGGAGAGAGAAGAGAGAAAATTTTTAAGAATACCTAAAATGCCCTCTAATTATAATTTTAATTCAAACTATCATAATTATTAATTTCCTAATTTATCCATCGATTTATGGTTGAGATTGGGATCTCACAGTTATCACAAACTAATCAGTTCTCATTTGATTAATATATATATATATATATATATATATATATATATATGCCATTGATTTGTCATTTTCAACCATAGATTTGCATAGGGAATGTAGTTAACAACATTTAATGTTGTTAGCTAGGAAAAAGTAACCAACACAATATGAATGCAATTTTTGTGTAAATCTTGTCCTATGCTCATCAATGTCACATGGATTACATCTAATTTCTTTTACATATTTAGCAATTTACCTATTAAAACTTATTACTAGATATCATCAAGATTGATTTTTCGTTCATAAACATGTTTTGGGTATTTTAGGTATTGATAATAATAGTAATTTTTTTTTATTTAGTTATATAGCATATCAGAGTAAGCAACATTTTGGATTAAAATGGAGTGAATTTTTTCTATCGTTTATTAGACGTGTAACATATTATTTAAAAATGATAAAAGAAAATATTTATAACTTTTTAATGGGAAATTGATGCCTGAAATACAATTTAGTAGTGATGAAACTCCTTTAATTCACTGTCGATAAAACTTTTGATAATTTCAATTCAAATCAACTTTACGACCACATTTCAAGTAAAATGATTATTTAGTCGTAACAAGATTTTCTAAATGTGATGATTTTTACAAGACTTTAATGTGTAAATTTGATTTGTTAATGTTGTACCTTGCATTACAACTATGAAATAAATACAATGAATGTAACACAATTTCTGTAAAGATGAAAAAGAACCTTCTATAGCCATCCAATACCTCGAAATTATCTACCAAAAATATGTTTGAGAGTTATAAGTTAGTATTTTTTAGGTTATTGAAAAAACAACATTTATTTAGTCATAAACTAACATATAATTGATTATTAAAAATATAACATAAAAAGTAGCTTTTTAAAGAAAAACTTTAAGTAACGTTTTAATAACGATCCTTTTCTATTTCATGAAGGGCCATTTTGGAGATGTGCAGTCGAAACCTTATCTACTTCCCCCTTTTTCTCTTCAATGGCGCTCCACTTCTCTTGCCATGCCGCTGCTCTCAACACCCACCTCCACTGTATTAATCTCTCTCTCTCTCTCTCTCTCTCTCTCTCTCTCTCTATATATATATATATATATATAATAAATCGTATGCTTATGACAAAACTGTTTTTTTTTAATATGAATTTCAGGTAAACTGAATGCTACTGTGAACAAACCCCATGAGAAAGTTAGGGATTTAATTATAAGAAGTAAAGTTCCTTCGATCACAACTGTCCCACAAAAGTCTCTCCAGAAAGGCAATTGGGTCAAGCTTATCTGTGGTGCTAGCTTTGAGGTAATTTCTGTTGATGAATTGAACCTAATTTTCCATTTATTGGTTACTTCTTTCGATTGAATTCTAGATATTTGTTTGAAAGATTTGACTTGTACTTTGGATTAGTAAGGATGTAACAATAATGGAACCATGTTAAACTATACAATTAGTACCTCCCGTAATTTGATTCCACTTGTTGTATTGCAAATTCAAACCCATTGTCAGTTTTGTTTCGATTTTGATTACAGGATGTGGTGGATGTTAGGAATCTTTCTCTTGTTTACACTCTGGCTGGAGGTAGAAACTATATTCATTTGATAAAATGATTATACCTGATCATATTAAAAGAATGAATTTGGATTTTGTGGTTAAATTAACCATTTTCACATTACAAATTGATTTGAATTGGTGTTTGAACCCAAGAAAGTATTTGCATATTGAAGCAGACCCCAAAAGAAAAAATTGAGGAACACTTCACAACCATTCATCTGTACAGTAGTATAAACATGTGCATACAAGTAATTGAAGATGTTTCTTGGTTTTAATGTGCATACCAGACAAATTATTTACAAATTACTTTTATGCATATGTGCATACCGTGCAGATGAAGGGTTGCTAGGGTGTTCTTCACTTTTTCATTTCTTTTGCGGTTTTCCCTTGAACCTGACCCTATTGAAGCATATGAGTAAATGAAAAGTATATTGATTGCAGATGTGTTTGAGTATTTATTGTAGTTGATTGTATTGATTGTGCCGCGGACTTGGCGGTGGTGAATGCGGTGAATGAAGGGATCGATGCTGCAAGAACTATCTTGCCTATTAGAAGGCCTTGGGTTATGATAAGTGTCAATGATGATGAGGATCTTCACTTTCGTAAAGCTGGTAAAAATTCAACCCCCGTAATTGTTTAAGTTTGTTATCATCTAAGGCCCTGTTTGTTAGCAGCTTAATAGGACTCGCAGCTTATTCGGTCAGCTATACATGACTTTTTCATAGTAGCTTAATGATATAGATATGGCTTGATCAATAAGTTTATAAGGTGGAGCTTTATGTAGAAAGTCAATTTTTCCCAAACCTACCCCTCCCAATTAGAAAACATGCTCCTTCCATCTATGAAAAAACCTTCCAAACAAAAACCTTTCCAATCTATACAGATATATTAATCTACACAGATAGTTGTAACCATACATGACTTAATGGAAAACCAATCAAACAGCCCCTAAGTTACACGAGTTTTGGATTCTTCTTATAGATTTGAAAAGATGTATGGTGAATGATCATAAGTTTTCATCGGTAGTCATCCATTTTATATATATATTGGAATTACACATACAACTATTTCATGCAGGATTCAAATGGTTGCTTATGGACATATCTAGGATTGTTCAAAAAAAATTCCAGTAAGCCGGCTATAGTGATTAAGCTGTCTATATAATTTAAGATAAATTGTTTGTTTTTATGCTGAATAAATGGTCAGAATGACATAAATTATGGTTTTAACCCTCTACAACACATTATCAAAATCTATTCTTTTAAAAACAATATTTATAACTCAACAACATGCATTCAAATTCTTGGATAAGATGTTAGTGGAAACAACAATAAAATATTTGTCCAAAGAAAACTAGAAAAGGACGATAAGGAAAGGGCTTTGCATAAAAGCAAGAACCAAAAAATGGGGGGAAAGAGGGTATTCTTGGAAAAATATTGGAAGAATGGGTAAAGGCAACATTAGTTGGCTTAATGAGTTAAGCCATGGTTTAGCATTAAGTCATAATCAAACACATCTATGTAACTTAACAAATTAAGCTATAAGCCAAAATCAAAGACCCCCTAAGGCCCTAACTCTTTGCTAGCTTTACAGAATTTGATCCAGACGATTGTCCAAACGATTGCTCAAGACCATGTGAAAAGATATGTCCTGCTAACGCAATATCTTTCCAGGATGCATTCAGCTCATATAAGGTCCTCACTTCCTTCCTTCTTCAAGTTGAATATTCTTTTTATTTATGCTCTAAGTTAGCTATTTCCATGGGAAAAGATGGATTATATTTTTGTGATTAAGTTTTTACATTTTTCATGCCAAATTTGATATGAAGCCAGGAGTTATAACGGAGCGTTGCTATGGCTGTGGACGCTGTTTTCCAGTTTGTCCATATGATAAAATAAGTTTGTACCTTTCTTTTCTTTTTGTTTATCTTTTTCAGGCATCTTAGCAATATATATTTGTGGGATCTTCTGAGAATTCAGATAAATGCTTTGATTGATACAGAAGTACATTCGTATTTAAGAGATGCTGCTGCAACATCTAAACTTCTTGAGAGAGATGATGTCGATGCTCTTGAGATACATACCAATGGAAGGTTGCCTTTTTAATTTGATTTTGAGGACTAATTTCCATTTCTTTTTCTTTATATGATCTTCCATTTGTTATTTGAAGGTTCGGTCTTCTTTTTCTTTTTTTTGGCTCAAAGAGTGTTTAAAATCATTTGCAGGCAGACTGATTCATTCAAAGAGCTTTGGGATGGTTTGGGAGAATCTGTTAATCATCTAAGGCTTGTGGCAGTAAGTATGAATTATTGGTTCAACCTTAAAAAGTCAAACTGTATCTGTTTTCTCCGACAGGGGAAATTATATAGATGTAAATTTAGGAACTATTTATCATCATATTCTGGAAGATAACAAAACTAGTTACAAATAACTGCAGGTTAGTTTGCCTTATATTGGAGATTCAACTGTCTCCATGATGAACAAAATGTACTCTATTCTAGAACAGGATCTCCGTTGCTTGAATTTATGGCAGGTGTTTACGACAGCAATGTACCTTTTATTTATGGTCGACTGATCAAGTCCGAATTCTTGACTATCTGTTACACATTTTATGATGAAATTTGTAGTTAGATGGCCGGCCAATGAGTGGAGACATTGGGCGAGGTGCCACTCGAGAATCCATTGCTTTTGCCCTTCGCTTGGCTTCTACTAACAACCGACCCCCTGGTTAGTGAATCTCTCTTTCGCCATTTTCATTTCCTTAAAAACACTAAGGGCCTGTTTGTTAGCAGCTTAATGGGAGTCGCAGCCTATTCAGTCAGGCATTCAGCTATACATGACTGTTTGGTAGTGGTTTAATGATATAGAAAATGACCTATTCAGTAAGGTTATAGAGGGAGTTTTATGAAGAAAGCGAAGTTTTTCCAAACCTGTCCTTCCCTATTAAAAAAACACGCTCCTTCCATCTATGAAAAAGCTCTCCCAAACAAAACTCTTTCCAATGTATACAGAAAGATTAATCCACACAAACAGCTCCATATAGGACTTAATGGAAAACAACCAAACAACCCCTGAGAGGCTTGTTCTTAATGGTACACGACATGAAAGTGTGTAGTAAAAGTTGGAAGGTACTAGTTCCTAGATAACATCTGAAAAAGAAGATCCCCTTTGTGATGTTTTGATTCATCTTGACTTTGAGTAATATAGGTTTTCTTCAACTCGCGGGTGGTACCAACGCTCACACAGTGGACGGGTTAAGAAAACAAAACCTCTTCCAAACGGCAACGGTTTCTGGTATAAATCTTACTACTCTATATTCATGTTCTCGCTTTATTTATTCCATGGGATTTCTCATGTTAATTGCAATAGCAACATTTCACCTACTAAAACTGCCTATTTATGTGTTATCAAGGTTATGGATTTGGGTTTGTGTAGTCTTAGGGTGCATTTGGTTTGATGGAATGGTTTTGAGGGATTTGAATTTCGTGGAAAGATTTTGAATTGGGGGGATTTGGATTTGGAATCTTTAGTGTGTTTGGTTTGTAGGATTTGGAGAGGAATTGAATTACATTCTTTGTAAATAATTTATAAAAGCAAATTATACATAATTATAAATTAATTAGATTACCTTTTTATTAATTGATTTTATTACAAAACAGATTTTTTAAACATATTTTAAAACATTATTACATACAAATTCTACGAAATCCCAAGAATATCAACCACCTCTTTGGGATTTTAAAATCTCATGTTTGTGGGATTTCAATTAGATCCCGGGATTTCAAATCCATGAAATCCTTCGAACTAAACATGGGATTGGAATAGAATTCAATTCCAAATTCCTCCAAATCCTTATCCAATCCAATCCTCTGAGCCAAACTGATCTTAGTTTGTTTTTGTCTTTAGAGATGTTTGACAAATAGTCAAAGATTATGTGATTCCGTGTGGTAATCTGTAGCTTTTGCCATATATAGAAAGTTCAAGGGTGTCGAATTCAAATGCTTTGATCAGCGGAATTGCTTATGGTGGCTATGCTCGCAAGGTTTAGACGTTATGGTTTTTATGAAAATAACACCATTAAAAAAAAAGCAAAGCAATATTGAATAAATTGTGAATAATTACTTGTTTTGTTTTTCAGATTGTTGGAAGGGTTTTGCAATCAGATTCAGATTCAGAGGGTGGAGTTGGTGAGATAGAATCATATCCAGACCATCTGTTAATGGCGGTTATTGAAGCTCTTGGGTTAGTAGGAGGGGTCAAGTCTTATAATATGTAAATAATAAGAATAATAATTATGAGCTTGTTTGTTAGCATTTTAATGGGATTAACAAGACTCGTAACTTATTTTGACAGCGTAATTGTTTGGGAGTGGCTTAATGATATAAAAAGTGGCTTATTCAGTACTCTTTCAAATAATATTTTTTTAATATATACAGATAGATTAATTTATATATACAACTTTATTCATATAAAAATTAATAGAAAATCAACAAAAGTAACCCTCAATGCCAATGGTACAACCTTTATTGCTTAATATACTTTCCAAGTCGTGGTGTAATAATGGGCCACGGATGTCTCCACTTGTTCCTTAGCGAATGGCAGAAAAGAGTCACCATCTCATTGCTCACAATTGTCAAAATAATTTTAGTGGTTGCTTATCAAATTCTTATTCGAGTAAGATTTTAACAAGTCACATTACTTTACCGGATGAATACGACAATGATCAAAAATCTTATATGGTAAGAGCGAAGACAATGATTGAGAGTCTTACTCAATAAGTGATGACAACGATACCAAAGGGCCTTTCACCTAGCGGTATCGTAGCCTTTGATCTCCTAGGAGGTCAGGGGTTCAAACCTCACCATAGCTGATGAGAGTGTGTGAGTTTATTTGTTGTATACAAATATTTTTATACTTAAAAAAAGTGATGACGACGACTCTTTTCATGGTTAGCACTTATCGGGTAAATTGTTGCATACAATACCGTTTTGATGGACTAAAATCTTGTAAGTGATAATGCTAAATTTTACCAGTAAGCACTTACTGAATAAGTGCTTGCTAAGCGGTCTCTTAATCTATTCACAAGTTACAAATACATATTTTTATACTTCTTTCTGTCTTAAAATATATGTTGATATTTTTATTTTACTATGTTTCAAAATAAGAATCCACTTTTAACGATAATCATATTTTTTTTTTCTTTTTTACCCTTGATAATAAAATGTAGAAAGTCTTTCTTTTTATTATTTAATGGTGTAATTATTTTTTAGGTAGTTAAAAAGCAGGGCCGGACCTATGTACATCCGAGCGGGTTTTCCATGCACCCGCTCGACTTATTTTCGCAAGTAGGATTGTTTTTGAGGTATGAAAGGCGTATCAACTATACTTTGAGGGGTGCTTCAGAATATTTGAAAATATAAGGCACATTAATTTAAAAACCAAAAATGTACCTCAAAATCAACCAAAAAGAATCGAGAAATCTCTTGATATTGACTAAAAAACTTAAAAATCCCTTAAAATCAACCAAAAAAACCTTTAAAAACTCCTCAAAATGCTGGAATTCAACTTAAAACACATTAGATGAGACAACTTTGCATGCCTTGATATGCTTTAAAGGTGTTGCAAAAAATTTTGGGTTCGCCACTATAAAAAAAATAATAATTATGTATTTTCTAAAAAATTATGTCTTCTTTATTATAAATATTTATTTATAGTTGAAAATTGTAATATTTTACCATATAAAAAGCTTAATGAGTGAAAAATAAATCTAACACTTTTCCTTTTATATTTTTATATATATAAAAAAAAGATTGTTATTCTTCTACTCATATAATACTCATTATAAAATATTTAGGGGCAAATGTAATTTTGACTTAATAAGCTTAATGGATTTATGAGCTTATTCAACAACCATTTTATTTAAAGCCTAATGAAAAATTATCTGTTTTATTTGCACAACCAAATATTTAACCAACAAAATGACCACTCCTATCCCTTGTTAAAATCGTTCAATAGAAAATCATTGCCGCATCCCTCTTTTTCCCCTGAACCCTCTCTTCACAACATTGATCTCCCTTCCTCGGTGAGCGAGTTCCGAACGACATCTGCATCTCCTTACTTGACGAGCAAGTTCCCGGGCGAGGTCTGCATTAATTTCCTTCCCGACGACCTCTCTCTCGGTATCGATTCTACTTCTTTTCTCGCTTTCTCTTCTTTATGATTTTCCCCAGCGAAATCCCTCATCTCTTCACAGTATTGATTCTACCCCTCATCTGTTCATCTTTTTTCTTGCATCCGATTCTCTTCTATGTTCATCTTTTTCCCAAAATCCCTAAATTCTTACGCAAAAATTGAATCAAATCCTTCTCTTCTCGATACTGATTCTATCCCTCATGTGGGTTTGCTTGCTACTATTTTTCCTTAGTTGTTTCCTCCGTTGTTTGCTAGTGTTTTAATTTTTCGATTTTGAGGAATCAGGATGCTGCTGTTGAAATTTATTATTATTATTTTAATCTCTGGATTAATTCCTTTTATTTGAAGTACAAATGATAAAAATAGAAAAGAGTCTTAAAAATCAAAACAATAATAAAATTATTAATTATAAATTATAAATTATAAAAACAAAACAAAAATGGTAATTTTTAAGAAACCACGTGAACTTACTCAATATAATATTACAACGAGAAAATGTGTGTGGAAAAGAGATGAGAGAGAATTCACGACTGTTCAGTCAACTATAAAAATGTGACCTTCAAGTTCAAGCCAATCGAACGTTACTAACTTCAAACCACCCATCAAATCCCCTCAAGAACAATCCCCAATTATGAACCCACCCATCCATTCCTCTTCATCTTTATCACTGTTGATTCATTATTTTGCACTCTCGTATTTCATACCCAATTAGGGTTTCTATCGATCTTTATTCCCGATTCTGCAATCACCCACCATGGCTTCAGGCAGCAGAGCAAGCTCTAGGGTTCATCCCCAAGACCCTCCTCCATCATCAACACCTTCTACGAGTGCTGCAAACAATCGAGTTGATTCAATGAGCAAAGCCATTGCACAATACGCAGTTGATGCAAGATTACATGCTGTTTATGAACAATCTGGTGAATCTGGTAAGTCTTTTGATTACTCGCAATCAATCAAAACCGCAACTGAATCCATCGCTGAACAACAAATGACTGCTTATTTGTCCAAAATTCAGAGAGGTGGTCATATTCAACCCTTTGGTTGTATGATTGCCATCGATAATTCCAGCTTTAAAGTGATTGCTTTTAGCGATAATGCTAGAGAAAGATTAGGTTTAGCACCACAATCTGTCCCGAGTCTTGAAAAACCCGAAATCTTGACAATTGGAACTGATGTCAAGACCCTTTTCACCCCTTCCAGTGCCGTCTTGCTCGAAAGGGCTTTTCGGGCTCGCGAAATTACGCTGCTGAACCCGATTTGGGTTCATTCCAAGAATTCCGGAAAACCCTTTTATGCGATTTTGCATCGGATTGATGTTGGTATAGTTATTGATTTGGAACCTGCTAGGACTGAGGATCCTGCTTTGTCCATCGCTGGGGCTGTCCAGTCTCAGAAGCTTGCGGTTCGGGCCATTTCGAACTTGCAATCGTTGCCCGGGGGTGATATTAAGCTTTTGTGTGATACCGTGGTGCAAAATGTGAGGGAGCTTACGGGTTACGATCGGGTGATGGTGTATAAGTTTCACGAAGATGAACATGGTGAAGTTGTGGCTGAAAGCAAGAGGGCCGATTTGGATCCTTATATTGGGTTACATTATCCCGCAACTGATATCCCGCAGGCTTCAAGATTCTTGTTTAGACAGAATCGTGTTAGGATGATTGTCGATTGCCATGCTACCCCGGTCCATGTAATCCAAGATGATGCTTTGATGCAGCCTTTGTGTTTGGTGGGTTCGACCCTTCGAGCCCCTCATGGTTGCCACTCTCAGTACATGGCTAACATGGGTTCGATAGCTTCGTTAGCCATGGCAGTCATCATCAATGGCAATGAGGATGGTGTGGGAGGAAGAGGTACGATGGGGTTATGGGGATTAGTCGTTTGTCATCATACATCTGCTCGATGTATTCCTTTCCCTCTACGTTACGCTTGTGAATTCGTAATGCAGGCATTCGGGCTGCAACTAAACTTGGAGCTACAATTGGCTTCTCAGATGTCGGAAAAACGCATTCTAAGAACACAAACTTTGTTATGTGATATGCTTCTTCGCGATTCACCTACTGGTATCGTGACGCAAAGTCCAAGCATCATGGATCTTGTGAAATGTGACGGTGCGGCTCTTTATTATCAAGGAAATTACTACTCGATAGGCATCACTCCGACTGAATCACAAATCAAAGATATTGTCGAGTGGCTGTTGGCGTGTCATACAGATTCAACCGGTTTAAGCACCGATAGTTTAGCGGATGCTGGTTACCCTGGAGCCGCGTTACTTGGAGATGCGGTTTGTGGGATGGCAGTTGCTTACATCACTTCTAAAGATTTCTTGTTTTGGTTCCGATCCCATACAGCCAAAGAGATAAAATGGGGAGGAGCTAAGCATCATCCGGGAGATAAAGATGATGGGCAAAGAATGCATCCGCGTTCTTCATTTAACGCGTTTTTAGAAGTTGTGAAAAGTAGAAGTTTGCCATGGGAGAATGCGGAAATGGATGCAATCCATTCTTTACAACTTATTTTAAGAGATTCGTTTAAAGATTCTGAAGAAAGCATTTCCAAGGCTGTAATTAAGGTTCAAAATGACGAAATGGGGTTGCAAGGTATGGATGAACTCAGCTCGGTTGCAAGAGAAATGGTTAGATTGATCGAGACAGCAACTGCTCCTATATTTGCTGTAGATGTTGAGGGCCGAATAAACGGATGGAATGCAAAGATCGCAGAGTTAACAGGTCTATCCGTTCAGGAAGCCATGGGGAAGTCGTTGGTTCAAGATCTCATTTATAAAGAATCCGAAGAAACCGTTGTTAAGCTTCTAAATCATGCTCTACAAGGTACTTGGTTTTACTTCTTCCATAGTTCATCAGTTATTCCATACACTACAACAAAATTGACTTCATAGGACTCCAAATATATCTAAGGGGCTGTTTGGTTGGTTTTCCGTCAAGTCCTGTATGGATAAAGCTGTTTGTGTGGATTAATCTGTCTGTATAGATTGTGAAGGTTTTTGTTCAAGAGGGTTTTTTCATAGATGAAAGGAGCGTGTTTTCTAATCGGGAGGGTGAAAAACTTAGCTTCTTGCATAAAGCTTCTCCTTAGAAGCTTACTGAATAAGCCACTTTATATCATTAAGCAACTACCAAACAATCATGTATAGCTGACCGAATAAGCTGGGAGTCTCATTAAGCTACTAAGGAACAAGCCCTATATGTCTTAATAGACTGCTTTATAAGACCAAACAATCGTGTCTTGTGTAAAAGTGTTACAATAACTTGATATGACATTTTTTGCACCAATCATACTATATATATATGATTATTAGGCGAAGAAGACAAGAACGTGGAGATCAAATTGAGGACGTTCAATTTGGCGCAAGAAGAAAAGGCTATTTTCATTGTGGTGAATGCTTGTTCCAGCAAGGACTATATGGATAGTATCGTTGGTGTCTGCTTTGTTGGTCACGATGTTACGAGGCAAAAGGTTGTAATGGACAAATTTGTTCAAATTCAAGGTGATTACCGGGCCATCGTTCATAGTCCCAACGCTCTAATTCCACCTATTTTCGCGTCGGATGAGAACACGTGTTGCTCCGAGTGGAACACCGCAATGGAGAAACTCACGGGTTGGGGGAGAGAAGACGTCATCGGGAAAATGTTGGTTGGAGAGATTTTCGGAAGTTGTTGTCGTTTAAAGGGTCCGGATTCTTTAACAAAGTTCATGATCATTCTACATAATGCAATTGGAGGGGTGGATACCGATAAGTACCCGTTTTCGTTCTTTGATCGACGTGGGAAATACGTGCAAGCTTTGTTGACGGCAAACAAAAGGGTTAATTTGGGCGGGGAGGTTACTGGAGCGTTCTGTTTTCTGCAGATTGCGAGCCCAGAGTTGCAACAAGCTCTGAAAATACAACGACAACAAGAAAACAAATGTTTTACGAGGATGAAAGAGTTGGCGTACATTTGCCACGAGATCAAGAATCCATTAAGTGGAATTCGGTTTGCTAATTCTCTTTTGGAAACAACGGATCTAACCGAAGATCAAAAACAGTTGCTGGAAACAAGTGCTAGCTGCCAGAAACAGATGTTAAAGATTATAAAAGATGTTGATATGGAGAACATCCAAGAGGGGTGAGTAATGGTTTCTTCTTGCTTCTCGTTTCTTTCGTTCTATTTATTTGCATATTAAGTTGCGGATTTTGTTTTCATAGTCATTTGGAGGTGGAAAAAGAGGAGTTTGTCGTTGGAAACGTGATCGATGGTGTTGTTAGCCAAGTAATGTTAATCTTGAGGGATCGAGGCGTACAACTGATTCGAGATATCCCAGGAGAAGTCAAAACTTTGAGCGTTTATGGCGATCAACTCAGGCTTCAACAAGTTTTGACGAATTTCTTGTTGAATATGGTTCGCCATTCGCCCTCGCCCAACGGTTGGGTGGAAATTCAAGTTCGACCAACTTTAAAGCCGACTTTCTATGGAACAACCAACGTCCATATTGACTTCAGGTATCGTCTACATGGGTCAGGTTTTGGGGGAAAAATGCAAAAAAAATCAAAAACTGAGGAAACCTTGATAATTGTTCATCAGCAATTTGTGCGGTATGCACGTCTGCATAAAATGCACACGTGCATATGCAATAAACAACTTCAATTAATTATTTGTATTCACATGTGCATAACATCCAGATGAATGGTTACTAGGGTGTTCCTTAGTATTTCATTTTTTTTGGATTTCCTCTGAACCTCCCTCTCATCTACATTTCTTTTCTTTTTTATACATATGATTATGTAGTTTAATATCGTATTTTGTGAAGGATTGTGAGCCCGGGAAATGGTCTGCCATCGGAGCTGGTTGCCGACATGTTCCATAGCAGTGAATGGAGGAGTGAAGAAGGTTTAGGATTAAGCATGTGTCGGAAAATCTTAAAGCTTATGAATGGGGATGTTCAATATATCAGAGAATCCGAACGCTGCTATTTCCATATCGTGCTCCAACTTCCTCTACCCTCCACAACGTAAAACACCCACTCGATATCAGTTTCAGGTACTAATTAATAAAAGACACTTGTGAATGTCTTTTAATCGGGTGGCAATTTGATTTGTGGGATAATGGTACATAAGAACGATGTTGTTATTAGAGAGTACACGTATTTGTGATTATAACACGTTCAATAATTCCTTAATTATACCGTTACGTATTTGCTCTTTACATACATTTTGACGTAAAAAAAAGTTGTTTGGTATGATGACGCTTGTTGAGAGGACTAGAAATCTTTTGGTTATTGTTTTCTCCCAAGTCCAAGTCCAAGTCCAAGTCCAAGTCCATGTCCATGTCCATGTCCAAGTCCATGTCCATGTCCATGTCCATGTCCATGTCCAAGTCCAAGTCCATGTCCATGTCCATGTCCATGTCCATGTCCATGTCCATGTCCATGTCCATGAACTCCTACGCCATCGAGCCTTGGTCTGCATTTGCGTTGGTTTTCAATAAATCGATGTAAAAGAAGATCAAACTTGCAGACGTCTTTGCACCTTTAGTTACATATATTCCTTAATTTCTGCACATACAACAAAACAAAATACAAGTGTGAATGAATTGTTGGAAAAACAAAACCAACATCTGATGTTTCAAATTAGCAATTACCAACCTTTGATGGTCATGTACATGTACATGACCAAACACGTACACACAAGCAAAGTATCCACCAAAATCAGATTCTTCCGATCGAGAGAAATGATGAAAGAAGAGACCACAGAAGCATCTTATTTCCTTCGTTCAGCTGCAAACTTCTTCTGCAAATCTTTAAGCTTGTATAGTATTTCTTGGAATGTTGGTCGGGATTCTGGTTCGCTGATCACCATCAAAGAAAAGAAACTTCTCTATCGTTAATTACTTCGTCCATAATTTATTTTAAAACATTTAACAGAGCAATAAATAGTCATGTGTGTATATATACGGTCATGTTCAGAGGCAACCCTAAAAAATAATAACCAAGAATTAACTTCCATTACTTATATGCACATCGACCAAATAAATATATGGTTACCGATTTTTATTCTTTTGGATTTTCCTCTGAAATTCCCTATATATATACACATTTTCGTAAGAGAGACCAGGTGGCTAACCTGGACCAACAACTATGGATAAGAGAAGCCCACAATGGATCCACATCTTTTGGAATCTCTAGTTGTCGATTCATGAACCCAACAGCGCCAATAACCTGCAACATATCATCATATCTGAAATTGGAGTTTGCATAATATATATATATATATATATATATATATATATATATATAATAATATGGTGTCCTTGGGCTGTTCTAAAATAATTAATGATTGAATTTGATCCAAGTAGTTGGGAATAATTAAGAAATTAACCTGCATGGCATTAAGATCATCCCAAGGGATCTTCTCGGTGGTAATTTCCCATAATACTACGCCATAGCTGTATACATCCGACCTAATTAAACATTACCAACAAATATTGGATTCAGACATTAATTTCTGACAAGAAAAGAAAACACAATCGGGTTTTAATTAGGATTCAGATTAATGACCTTTCATTTGCTTGTTCATTACGAAGAATTTCTGGAGCCATCCATTGAGGCTACAAAAGCAAAAGATTAGAATAAGGCAACATTAACCAACTTATTTTGGAATGTAAAAGCAAAAGGATTACAGTTACAGTATTTGGGTATTTGGGAAGGAAATTAGGAATTGAAGATTGCAGTACCGTTCCTTTCCCGGTCTTTGTCTTGAGGTACGTTTCATGCTTCACACGAGAGAGTCCAAAGTCACCAACCTATAACATCATATCATATATTTAATTTATTAGTGAAAAAAGACTTGGATACCAGCAAGCATCAAGAGTTGGTGGTCTGATACCATACCTTCACCGTCCAATTCTTATCCACAAGAAGATTTGAAGACTTCAAATCACGGTGAATAATGGGTGGGTTGCATTGATGAAGATAATTCATGCCTCGTGCCTATGCATATGGATATGCATACGACAATCCAAATTATTAATTAAAAGATGCTTCATAGATAAAAGAAGGTTCCAGGATAATTAGCACGCATGCCTAGAACTTACGATATCCATAGCCATATGAACACGACGTCTCCAATCTAATCGTGTTGTATTTCTTTGAAGTACCCGAAACAAACTTCCACTACATAACACAAGTCCATTAATTAATTATTTAAATTAGATTGTGACGCTTGATTTTGTGGGTGGAGTTAGGATTCAAGAACCAACCGAGGAAGGAACTCTGTGACAATGCATAGATGCGGAGGTGAAGTTACAGCCCCCATGAACAACAAAATATTCGGATGTCGAAGCCTTTTCATCATAGATACCTTCATGTTCAATAAATAGATTAACAAACAAAATCCATTTAGACCCACTCTAAAATCAAACATGGTTGAAGTGAAAAAAAGTTACCTCTTGTTTAAATGATAGTATCACATCATTTGAATATTCTTGATGCACAAATAACTTCACTGCAACATCCTGCATGCATAAAATCCACATACATGAAGAATGAATAGATGAAGATTGTTACAACCAAAACAAATTCAAAATCACAAGAGATATAATTAACCATGGAGTAGGAGATGGAGAACATACTGATCCATACCACAACCCATGATATACAGTCCCACACGAACCTGTAACGTATATATATACAAAATGAAACGTAAAATATCTATTTAAAAAAAATATTGCACAAATAAGAGAAAATCATCAAGTTTGTGTTACCTTGCCCAATCTGTTCTTTAGTTATCAAGTCCTCCCACAAGATTTCATAATCCGTCTCCCTTTCCACTTTGATGATGGCATTGCTTTTGATGCTACTGCTACTGCTACTACTTGAACTGCTACTGCTACTAACATGTATTGAAGAAAGCCATAACCCTGAAGCCTCCATCTTATTGCTCACCAAGTTGTTGTTTTCCCATAATTGACACTCTAGTTTTGCTGAAGCAAAAGAACTCACTTGTTCGTGTTCTTGATTAAGATCTAATCGATGCCAACCAAAGCGACCAATTCTAGCATCAAAAGATTCCTCCTCTCTTTCTCTCCATGGCCACACAATTTTCCTTTTACCCATCCATGCCTCCGCTTTTGAAGACAAAATCTTGCATATCCCAAGTTTGTTTTCACTCTCATCAACAGAATCTATCGTAAGTTTTTCAGTAAGATGCTCTTCTGTGCCTGTAGAATGAAATACTGAAAATGGAGATGGAGCAATATGTCCCCTTGGGGTAAGGCTACTTTCAAGTGTATCTTCTGTATGATCACCTTCATGATCTGTGTACTTCTCTCTTGTCTTCATTTTCAACTTCACCCTTGAAGCCTGTTTACAAAATTCACTGGGTACGTAATTCTACACCCTGGTTGTCGGTTTTTGAATCCATTCGTATACATAAAGGGATCTACATTCTTACGAACTACACACCAAATATGATATCTATGAGGAAATTTATGCCTTCTATCTACAAACAACTGTCTGTTAATCCATTTGGTTGTAAAGTGACCGAATTCTTAGCCGGGTTGTCTTAAATATCTGTTTTACTCATTTGAGAAAGGCTAAATGTACAAAATGCCAACTAAATTTGATATCTTTGAGGCAATTCATCCATGCATAGTTACCAGTTGAGCTTCAAGTGATGCAGTGTCTTAAATTTCTGTACGACAAAATCGAGTTTATAGGATGTCACCAGTAAATAAGTGTCGTAATATACTGCATTTAATTTATATAAGTTTATAGAACTCTTTTAGACGTCTTAACAAGTCCTTTAAGACACTTATAATACAAGGAACTGCATCAGCTAATTTATAAGACACTATTGAGAGAGTGTCTTATAAAACCATCTTTTATAGGATATTCATGTTTATATATAGAACGTTTTGAGATAACTAATACGAAATTTTTTTATAGTCCGAAAGCGTCCTATAAACTTCTCACAACGTCTTTAGATAATACGTTTTATTGTTTGGTCCTATAAATTATGCCTTCTAAATTAGTCTATTAGAAAGTTTATTTATTGGTAGCGTCGAGTAGGAAATACATACCAAATTCGATATCTTTAAGGAAATTGAAGGCTGCTGAGGATCAAGTCCAACTTTAGCAGAAACAATATCCGTGGGACTCTTCCCGGGCTTCATTACTTGATATTGACGAACAGCAGTCGTTACACATATACCCCCAATTAATCTTCTATTTTCATCACGATATGGCGTATTGGTCGCGATAACCATGATAATTTTTCCGTTCTTTTTCCTTATCGGAAACTCTCCAGACCAACTCTCTCCTTTTACCGTTCGCATTAAGAGATAATCAGCTAATACARCATCTTTAGGATCTTCCACTAGAAGCTCWGTAGGWGTTTTCCCATAAGCTTCTTCAGGTGTAAAACCATAAAGATTTTCTGCTGTTTGGCTCCTGCATCCAGTTTTTTTTAAATTTTTTTATGCATTTATCTTCTTGAATCTCA